GCCAAGCCATTCTGTGTAATAAGCATTTAAGTCACCAACAATAACGATATTGGCTGATGGATAAAGAGAGAGGGGTAGGTCAATTTGACCAGAAATAACATCAAAAAGAGTGCAGTCTCAAGATGAAGGAGAGTGACATAGAACAAAGAGAAAGGCTATAGAGTGAAGTGGTGCTAAACGAAAGCACATAAAAGAATAGCCTGTGGATTCAAACCTAATTTCCCGACAAATGGGTGAATTCTTAGGAATGTAAATGCCCAGGCCAAGCATGTGACTATTGGAGTCTTTATGAATTAAAAGAATTTAGCCATCAACACTAAGATCACAAGATGAGACAGCTGAACTCAAATTAGTCTCACAAAGAGCAAGTAGGTCTGGTGAACTTTGCAAGAGATAAGACTCAACAGAAGAAAAGTTACTTTGAAGACCGTGAACATTAGTGAATGATTGGTTTAGCAGGCTTGGTCGGGAAGTGGGAGCAATCGCTCTCGATTGCTGACCACGGAAATAATATTTAGTTGTAAAAAGCTGGCCGCATTTTTTTGTCGTTTTGAGAACATTAAAAAAAAAAAAAAAAAAAATGAGAAGATTAATTGGACCGATGAGAGACAATTACAAAAAACAAAATTAGGAAAATAAAATATCTTTTAACGCAAAAAAACTTAAAGGAAAATAAATTACGTTTAGAACAAATATTTTCGAAACATCGCTCTTTTATAATTTTTTTATAAAATTAAGCGACGTTTTTTATATTAAGTTACATCTTACGTTTACTTAAAAATGTTCTTTATTTATCAAAGTTTGCAAGTTTTAGTTTTATCTGAGCTAAATTACTTTATAAATAAAAAAGTTAATTTGTTTAATACCTATTCTATGTTTCGCGTAGTTTGAAAAGTTTAACATATTTGAAACAATTCTTCTTAGTAAGAAAAACAAATGAAATAATTAAATCATTGAATTACTAAAGAAATTAAATTAACTAGATAGAAATCAACTAAAAAAGTTAAAAATACTTTAATGACGAGGAAGCGAAACTGCTTCATAATATCGCTAATGATGTTTAGTGAGTGGGCTTTTTAATTTTAATTAGTATATAAAGCAGGAAAAAGTATAACGAGTTTTTAAGAATGGCAACTTAATTGAAAATAATTTGATTTAGTGAACCAATATCTAAAAACTTATATCTATTTAGTGAACCAATATCTAGAAAATAATAGTTTATAAGATTTACGGCTATGCAGGTGGCTCCGAGATGTGATAGAATAGATGTGGCTCCGAGAATGAGCGATAGAATTAATAATATATTCTTATAACAATCTATGCTAGAAATCTCAAAACGTAACAAATCATGAATAAAACAATTTCTACAACATTTCAACATAATACTCTAGAACTTTATTTGGCTTAGTCAGTGTATTTTTTAACCAATAGAATTAGTTTGTTCATTAATTTGGCGGATTTTTAAAGTTCGCGAATATTCTTTTCATTCTTCCGCACCAAGATGTTTTGAGAACATTCAAGTTTTTTATGATTCCATGTTTGTCCGTAAAACCAAAATTTGTTGTTTCAAACGAAAAATTAAATATTCTAATAAAAATAATATAATTTCCGTGGTCAGTATTCTAGAGCGATCGCTCCCGCTTCCCGACCAAGCCTGGTTTAGAGAACTTGGTGATGACAATGGTTTTTTATGTTTTATAGTTTTTAGTACTTTATTCTTTTTTGAATTTGTTAAAAAACTTTTCTCAAAGCATAGACAGCACTCAGTACACTGTTCAATAAAAGCCTTAACAATGCACACCAAAAGTATGAAAAGGGACACCCCCCATGCGCAACATGGCTTTGATATTTTTCAGCTGTTGATGGAATCAGCCTTAAAAGGTAAAAACTTTTTTTGTTTACTTTGATAATTTTTATTTGTATGTGCAATAAAAATTTATGTGTATAGTTTATGTGGATAATTTGTGTGTATGGATAATGATATGGAAAATGATATATGAATAATACCATATCATCAAACAGCTGGAACTTGTTCAAAAAATGAACTTAATTAATTAGAAAACAGTTTTACCCTATGTTTGTTGCTCTACCTGGAATGCTCACAGTGAACACAATACTTCCAACACTACTTTGTAGCAAAGATAAAAAAGAGAGGATGTTTGCAGTGAAGACAATACTTTTAATAAGAAATTAAAGTTCTCTACTGCTGTTAGGTCAAGAAAAATTCCAAAAATTAACACCGATGCTGAAACTATTATCAAACTGATTGATTGGAATACTGATATTTACAAAGCTTTGCTCACATGCAAGATTAATAAAGAAGAACTTATTAAGTTCTTAGAAATCCCGATGGAAGTTCCAGAATTCCCTGTACACAGACAATCCATAGAAAGAATTGTGAAGGAAGTTACAAGAGTTTCTAACAATTTTCGGACAAGAAAGGCGGGTTTGTTATAGCAACAATGGCTCACAGAGAACTTCTTTTTGTTTTAGAATCTAAACAGAATTTGCTTAAGCTTTTTTCAAGTAATAAGTTCTAACATTGTTGTATAATTAGTATAATCAAGTAAATTCATAAAAATTACATATAAATGATTTTTTATGTTTCTAATAGGTTGTATTTGGGGTGGCGGTTGAGGAGTCTTTAAAAAAAAATTTCTACATTACAGTCATATTATATTGTTATGCAAGATATTACAGCAAAGTATTGCAAAAATAACGATCTTTGTAAACTTTAAAAATCATAAGTTTTTAGGCTAAAATGACTGTCTGGGTGTCTATTTATTGTAAAAAGTTAAAAAATGACTATATATATATACATATATATATATATATATATATATATATATATATATATATATATATATATATATATATATATATATATATACATATATATATATACATAAATATATACATATATATATAACAGGCTTGGTCAGGAAGCGGGTGCGATCGCACTCAATAATTGACCACGGAAATTATATTTACTTGCGAAAAGCTAGCCAGATTTTTCAGGCGTTTTGAGAACATTTAAGTTTATGTATGTATCCTTGTTTGTCCGCAAAACAATAAATTTATTATTTTATCGTAAATTTTAAAATATTTTGTTTTACGTACATGGAAACTTATATAAACTTGAATGTTGTCAAACATCTTAGTGCGGAAAAATAAAGAATATTCGCGAACACAAAAAACCCGCCAAATTTACGAACAACTAATTCTATTGGTTCAGTTAATAAATAACTTATATTACTAAAGAATTCAAGCAAATGTTCTCGAGTATTCTGTTGAATTATTTTCCAAAATCGTATAATTTGAGTTTTGTTATGTTTTCGTTGAGATTTCTAGCATCAGTTTTAAGAATATACTATCAAACAAACAATTATTTTAATACAATGGCTCATTCTCGGAGTCACATCTACAAAGCTATAAATGTTTTAAACAAACATTTGTTTACAAAAATAAATGTTTTAAATTTATATTTTTTAACTTGTCAACGTTTTGTAAATATATTATAGATTTAATTAGTATAATCTTATTTTTTATATATAAGGGATGTATTTATATGTATGTAATGCATTAGAAATTGGTTTATTAACTTCAATTATTTTTGCTTCAGCCATTCTTACAAACTCGTTATACTTACATTTAAAGTTACTTTTTTCTGTAAAATACTAGTTAAAGATAAAAAACCCACTCACTAAACATCATCAGCGATATTGTTAAGCAGTTCCGCTTCCTCCTTACAAAGTAATTTAATGTTTTTAGTTAATTTCTATCTAGCTAATTAAATTTCCACAGTAACTCAATGATTTAGTTATTTCATTTGTTCATCTTACTAAGATCTACTATTTTGAAATCTGGTCCTAGTTATTTCATTTGTTCATCTTATTTATAATTAAATTATGTAGCGTTAGTTTTATTGGTTTAATCTTGTTGGACTTTACAGGGCCAGGGGCTGCATTATTTTGGTGGCCTTTTTTATGTGCGACAGCGTAAAAATGACTTAAAAATACCGATAGGTCCTCTTGACTATTTCTCGGCCCATAACATTGTGTGTCCCGGGACTATAGCTCTTCTACCCCCCCCCCCACCTCTTATTTCCAGCACTGGAAATAAGACATGAGTATATAAATAAAAATTATATATAATCTTTGATAAATTGAAGAACATTTGTTTCTTTATTAAACAATCATTATTAGTGCGTTGCTACTATATACAAAAAATGTCGCTTTTTTTTTTAAAAAAAAATTATAAAAGAGCGACGTTTCAAAAATATTTGCTCTTATCGTATTTATTTTGCTTAAAGTTTTTTCACGTTAAAAGCTATTTTTCTTTTTTTAACTGTCTCTCATCGGTCCCGTTTATCTTATTGCGCTTTTTTGCTTATTTTTGAAATGTTCTCAAAACGCCTAAAAAATCTGGCCGGCTTTTCGCAACTAAATATAATTTCCGTGGTCAAATATCGAGTGCGATCGCACCCACTTCCCGACCAAGCCTGATATAAATATATATATATATATATATATATATATATATATATATATATATATATATATATATATATATATATATATATATATATATAAGTATATATATAAATATATATATATATATATATATATACATATATATACATATATATATATATATATATATATATATATATATATATATATATATATATATATATATATATATATATATATATATATATATATAGGTGCATCAAATGCCCCTGCTTTCAAAATAAGATCTGTTCCTATTCTGAAAACTTTATATTTGTTCTCACAAGCAACTTTGTTAAATTTTTCAAAATTACTAAATGTAATTGGGTTTAGAGAGGCCCCCTCAAAGCTAAACTTTGAAATCTGGTCCTAATTGCCAAAAAAAAGTAGGGTTCTTTTTTTTTACAAAAATAATTATCATTTTATAAAGAAAAAATTGTTAAAATTATAACCTACTTGTAGAAAATTTTATGAGTAGAATAAACTTACTTATAAAACTTTTAATTCCTAGTAACTCAATTTCCATATAAACAAGTAATCTGCTATAAGTTTCAACCAATGCTGGAGACAGCGCTAAAACCTGTTGCTGATCCTGATGGAGTTGGGTTGAACTTGCAGCAAACTGGTTAATTTTTGTAACTATATTATGGATTAAACTAAAAAAAATGTTTTAAAAGAACCTATAAGTCTTTGTTTTTAGAAAGTTTTTAACCCAAAAAAATATCAATATACCACTGAACTTGAAAATTTAATAAAATTTTACCTCATTTTAGTATGAGCTGTTAGTGAATCAAGTAGTTTCATATCAAGAGGTACAACACTTCCAGATGCCAAACAGTTTTTTGGAAGTTTCACCGTGGTTGAATCACAAATCTTACTCATAATCTCATTCATTTGTAGTAAGAAAACATCTGAGCTTGTACTATCTAAACTAACACATCCTCTTTAGCACTTACATAAAAATTGTTGTTTTTGAAGTACTTTATATTTATTTATATATTATAAAACATAAATATTATATACTATTATACACAATATCAATAATAATGACTAATAATGCTCTAATGTAATGATACACAACTTTTTAATAACTTGTTCTCTTTTCTTAAGTGTTTTTTGTTCGTAAACTTTTGGAAATTCTCAAAATCTTGCCTAATTAAATCTGAATACTTTATAAATTAAAGAAATGCATTTTGAAGCTTAATCTCTTACCTTGTATTTATTTTTAAATATAATTACAAGGTATCTACTGGGTATAAAATTAAATTTTATACCCAGTAGGTACAAGACAACACGTATTAAAACATAAAATTAAGTTATATAGATGTTTAAAATTATATGTTTAAAATAATAGTTTGAATACCAGTATCCCACGTTTTATCTTTAAAAGTTCTAAGAATTGAACTTTTCATATAACACATTCAGATAACTTTTCTTTAAAATGCTACTTACATTCTGGATAAATTATTTAGAAGTGAATATTTGGCAGTTGTCATGGATAGTTTAACTCAGAACAGTTTCATTTTCAGTTTTCAAAAAACATTTTAAATAGTTGTAAACATATGACTAAACTTATTCACTTTTGAAATGCATTGTTAATATTAAAGAAAGTATAAAGTTTACATGAAAATATAATAAATTTAAAATTTACATAAAATTGCAAAGTTAGTACTTACAAGCATTACACAGCAGCACCATTTCATAATCATCATGAGGTTTCTGCACTCTTTCTGATAAAAATCTAAAATAAAGAATTATTAACATAATTCTCATTGCATTTATGTAAATATAAAACAAAAATAAATTCATATAAATATAACACAAAAATAAAACACTTTTCTCAAGACTTACTCTAGCTGTTTGGATAAAGTTATTGGTGCTCCATATGATACCATTGTATCATGTTGGTTGCTTTCTATTCTGGCCTATAAAAAGTTGGTAATTTCAAAAATGATCTATTGGGTGTTTGAAAAAAATATTTAGATACTTTAAAATTTTAATACTTTGTTAATAAAAATAAACAAATAAAATTAAAACAATTATATGTTTCACTATTGTTTATTGTTTGCCATTCTGCAAATAATGGATGCTATGTGAATAAAACTATTCGGGCTTGGAGGAAAAAAAGAAAGGCACCTATTCTTTAAATGCATGTTCATGGGCACCAATTCTTTACATGCATGTTCATGGGGCACCCTTCTTTACATGCATGTTGGCTAATGGCCACAGATAATAATGTAGCATATATATATATATATATATATATATATATATATATATATATATATATATATATATATATATATATATATATATATATATATATATATATATATATATATATATATTATTGAAGTTTGGAGTGTTTATTTTTAAATAATTTAAATTTTTTTAAATTTTAAATCCAATTACTTTCACACTAAATCGATAATAAATATTTAATTCAGTAATCATACATAACATATTCAATTAAACATAAATCTAAAACCAAGCAAACAATTTTATTATTATTTACAATACATCTATATAAGTTTAATATATATAATCACAGTCTTTTATAAATGATAACAAAATAAGACCTTTTTAGAAAGGTGTACCCATATGCAAGCCATAGAAAAGGATGACACATTATCTGCATTAATTGATGTAGGAACTGGCAAAGGCTTAAAATAAGAAACTTTTCTAATTTAGATTTTGAAATCACTAAATAATAACATTGTTAAAATGTTAAAAAATAAAAGTAACATAAGTTTTGAACTTGAAATCATACCTCTTTTCCAGGATATAATGTTTCAAACAACTTGATGATATGTGAAAATGCTGACAACTAAAATATTAATAATAAATTGTATGTGTGTAGTTTATGTAAATTTAATTAGCATAATTTATTAGTTACTAAACAAAAAATTTTCATGCAAATTAAAGTTTTTACAGATGAAAGCTTGTGTTAATAAGTTAGGTTTTTAAAATATCAAACTATTACTATTAACATTTAAAAAAATAATAAGTCAGTATTTAATCTATATAAACTATATAATTTATGAAAGATAAGGAATACTCCATGGAAACATCCACAGTGAAAATTTTTAGAAAAAAAAGTATTGACAGTGAAAGAATAGCATAGGTAGAATGCTGAAAAGAGATCCTAAAATAAAATTACCATGCTTCTCTTCTCCACATTTTTAAATATTAAAGTTAATTGGAAAATAAAAAGTTAAAAAAATTAATGTTCTTCTTTGGAGTGGCCTCCTTAAACCATTAACTTTCTATGCAGAAGGCTAAATACATATTTTATTATTTCTTTTGGCAAAAAAAAAAAAAAAAAAATGGGTTTAAATAAAATTTGATCATAACCTAGATCTGACTCAATATATTGTGATTTCACATTAAACAGGTTAACGATTATCATTATTACTTCAGAAATTGAAATCAACTCCTTATAGTGTAAAGTTGATTGTGTAGAAAGACAATGGTACATTATAAGCCTAAATAAGTTAACTTTGCTTTCTTTATTGCAAAATGAACTTCAAAGCACTTTACAAATTTTGTAACTGTCTCTCGCTAACAATAACTCTAGGTATTGCTTGGTAATAGTAACTCTAGGTAACTCTAAAATCCATGTTTTAGGTATTATTTATATGAATTAAAACTATTAGGGATTGCTTGAAATATTTTGAAATATATATACTTTATATTATTTATAACATCAATTCAAATCCTAAAATTCAATTCATCCATCCTAATTTTAAACTTGTTTCTAATAAGTAAACAGGTAAGACAAGCCACGAAGGCAAAAAAATGAAAAGAACATACATACAAACATACATACATTCAAAAAAATCTAATTTTAGGTTTTTTATTTAAAAAAATCAAAATAAGATTACATAATATAAATTAATTGAATTATAAAGTATTATTTTAAATTGTATAATTTATACATTCAAATTAGATTTTTTTGAATGTATAAATTATACATTCAAAAAAATCTAATTTTAGGTTTTTTATTTAAAAAAATCAAAATAAGATTACATAATATAAATTAATTGAATTATAAAGTACACAAATAAATAATGATAATAATTTGTTTTAAAAAGTTAAGACAAAAATATTTACAAAAATATTTTTGTAAAAGCTCGTAAAAACTGAAAAAAAAAACTTACAGAGCTTTTCTGAATACTGCCAGAAATAAACTGAAGCAAAACCCACATTAACTGATCTCTTCCCTTCGTGAGGTTTTTATTTAGTAACTAAATAAATTCATTAAATTTATTACAAATTGGTTTTATATTTAGTAAACAAAGAGGCTTGTTTAACAACATCAAAGTTATTTATAAAATATATAAAATAAACTTTGTATAAAATATAGAAAAACCTTTTTATGTAACAACTTCACCATGTGTGGAAAACTAACAAATTGAAATAGAATAAAAAAAATAAGTTGACTTGATAAATGTTGCCATAGCAACTTTAAATAATTGTCTCCATCAATCGAACTTTCATTTTTTTCCATAGCCATCATTATAAGATCAACAAGAACCTCTTCTAAAGCTTCACAACGCTGTTTTTGCTAAAATATACTCTATATTTCAGAAATGTTTTTTATTATAATAAGTTTTTAAAAAACTAAAAATACATTTATCTATTTTAAATTTTATTATAAAATATTTTGAAGATAATAAAAATTATTAATTAAAGAAAACCTGTTTTTTTAAGCCTAACATTGCACAAACAAATTCACGAGAATAGGGTTGAGATATAACATAACGTATAAGATTTTTTTGAGACTCTAACAGCTTCTAAAAATTTATGGCAAATATTTTGTCAATATACAAAATTTAGGAGAACATAAAAAAGTAACAAAAAATTAATAATAATAACAATAATTTAAAATTCATCTACAATTTCTAAATCAATTCAATTTCTAAATCAATGGAGCACATGTGGATATGTTATAATAAATTGTTTTAATGTTATATTAATTGAGTCTTATTAGGAAGTTCAGTTTCTCAGTCATGGCAAACAACGAACAGTCAATAATGAAATTTTTGACAGCCAAGTTCTATTTTAGCTACATTTAACCTTACTTTTAGCTAACTTCTGAAAGTGCACAATGAAATTCCATACAACTTTCAACTTTGAATGATTTTATTAACATTTATATATATATATATATATATATATATATATATATATATATATATATATATATATATATATATATATATATATATATATATATATATATATATATATATATATATATATATATATATATATATATATATATATATATATATATATATATATACATGTTAAAAGAGCTTTTCTCTTAGCTAAAATAGCTGGGGCCGGGACTGGATTTGTGACTAGGGCTGCATAAACATTGATAGATCCTAAAGTATATATTTTTTATTCAAAATTCATGTCATATTTTATTTATATATGCATATATATTTAAATATAAACATCACCATGATCAACATAACCATCATAATTATCATCATCATTATCATCATCATCATCATCATCATCATCATCATCATCATCATCATCACCATTATCATCATCATTATTATAATCATCATAAGAACATCTTTTTCGAGAACAAAAGTCTTTTTATTATTGCAAGAAGTTAATGTAAAAATGCCCATTCTGATGCTAAGCTCCGTTATTCTCTGTTTACTAAATCCTATTTTAGATCTTAGGTTTTTAAACTTTTGGAAAATTTTCAACTGTGTCATTAAGAAAAATAAATCTAGCATTCTATCTCTAATTCTAACAAATTATTAAACAATTCATGGGTCTGATCTTATTACTTCTCCCAAGATGTCCGATCTTATTACTTCTCCCCAGAATAAGGCAGAGTTATTTGCAAAGGAATGTTACTGCAATTTGACTCTTGAATCTAATGGCCATACTCTTCCTGCCAGTTAAACAGACTAACCCATTGTTATATATCCATATAATTCTCAAATTAAACCTTCTATGGCTTGTGGTACAGACAAAATTACAATCAGTCTTACAAAAGTGTTCTCCAGAACTCTCTTCAATTCTTGCTAAATTATTAACAAGTGCTACATAGGTGGTTCCAATATTTAAAAACACTTGAAAACACTCTGACCTCTCCATCTATTTAATGATTAGTCTTCTGTCTAATATAAGTTTCTTTATATAAAAGTTTTAAATTTTCTAACAACTTTTTTTCATTTCCACAAATCTTTGCTTGTGAATTGTTTCTTATCTACAATAACAATCTTACTGACAATCTAAACTCATGCTTGGCTTGTCATTTAGCAAAGCTGCATCATTTACTATATCTGCCCCTTCATACTACAAAAATTTTTATTCATCTAGTTTTTTTCTTCACACATCAACATAACGTCAAAACTCTCATCCACCTTCATTTTTTCTGACTTACAATATACAACATTTTAAGTCTTCAATTAATTGTTTCCTTGCTTTTTAACCCTATCTGTTTTCTAGTAACTTATAACTTAATAGTGGTTGTTTGCAAGTGGTTGCACCTTGTTGGAAGTGAATTAGTTTTAATATATATATTGCATTAATTTATAATATATAAAGTATTATAAATTTTAACTTACCCCTGACTATCAACACTTGCTAAATCTTATAATTTTACCAGGGCCAGGTTTGTCCCATTTTTAGCCAGCGTTGGGACCCCGGTCACTTACTATTGTCCACAATGCAGACATAAACTAGCAACAAGTGAAGAAAAAATGAGTTGGAGATTAAAATAATTGCATGGAGAAAGAAATTATGCTGGAATCAACAAGATCATTAGTCAACAGTACTTTATGTGAACTTGAAGTGTCTCATCTAAAAGTTCATTTACCCAAAAACTCTAACAAGCAATATCTGGCACAAAGTAAAGATCCAGAAAAACAATATAAAAATAATGAAATAAACAGTCAGCGGATTTCAAACAAAAACAATAGATAGAACTAAACTATTATTAATAAAACTTCTATTAAGTGAATTCATAGAACTCTTGCTTCCATTAAGTGAATTCATAGAACTCTTGTAAGAAAAGCTTGATAAATTCATTTATAGGAAAAAAAAACAATCAAGCTATCTAAATGCATCTCAAAGAAACAATTAGTAATAATGAGATAATTGTCCTGGCAGATTTTGCAGAGAACTACACTTTTGTAGTACAAGATGAGGTACAGAGTTGGATCATTGAAGCCAAAGTCAGTATTCTTTATCCAGCTGTCATCAGCTACAAGAAAGTGATATTGGAAGCATCTTTTATTTGTGTATTTTCAGATGAATTGAGTTATGATATTGGATTTATCAATAAAGTTATGCATAAAACCGTTAATCATATAAAAACTACTTTTTGTCCCACAATTACAAAAATTCATTATTTTTCGGATGGCTGTGCCTGCACAGCCTTCGTTACAGGTCAAGACATAGCTGTAAACAACCACATAACGTTGGATATTTAGTTGAAGAAACTTTCTTGGACTTCCAAGATATTTGTTAAGCTTAGTGTTGATGGATTTTCTGGTTTTTGCCATTTTTCTATTTTAAATATATCATGAATCTGAAAAATAAATGGGGAGGAATAATAGCATTCAGTTATCGTCATATTTATAAGGTATATTTGAATATTAACTTGCACTTATACACAAAATAATAGTTTAAAAAACAAAAAATACTCTATAATAGTAGAATTTTTTTTTAACTCAGGCTTTATAAATACATAGGAAAATAGGAAAAGTGATGTACTGAATCAAAACTAGAACATGCATGATTATGCAGGAACATGCATGATTATGTAGTTCATATACTGCCCTATTGTGCAGGGCAGTATATGAACTACAAACTTTTACAACTTACATTACCATGCTAAATATTTTTCTGTTTGTTGCACTGGAATTTCTTTGAAATAAACCATAGTAAATCTCCACGCAATGGAATTGTTGGCACTGTAAAATGACTTGTAGCCACTGCTAGCTTGCAGAGCCCGACCACAAGTCAAATACTGTTCGCTCAAGCATTATTAGAATACTGTCAATCAGTAGGATTATCCTTGTATATGCCACTGCTGAATAAATGAAGTTAGCACTTATAGAACCACTGTTTCTAGGACAAGAAGTTTTTAACAACTTGCACCTTCTTCTCTTTTAATTATAAAGAAATTGAAAAGCGTATCTAATGATGATGATTTTGTTCTAACATTTAACTTCCTCAATACCCTAAATTATGAAATTGATCTTCTATGTTATGATGTTGCAATACCTATTTTGCAAGTATGATAAATTTTATTGGCAATATATGGTTTCTGGAGTTGATTAAGAGAATGATAATTTTATGGTTAAGTTCATGCAGCCACACTATCCAATTTGATTGTACTACTAACCAAACAAGGATGATAATTGCTGGGTGCAAAAAATGAATGTCATTTCTCTTGTTTAAACATTGTCAACATCTTCTAGACATTAGTATCACATCTCAAATAAAGACGAAACTCTATTATTTCAGTCTATCATTACTAATATTTCACTTTCATTATTCAAGCAACTTGTTTAAATGATATAAACTTCAATTTTTGTTATACTTGCTTATTCATTTTTTTCAATAAAATATCTTTTTCAAAAAAGCAAGTTTTTTTTGAAAAAGATATTTTACTCTTTTTCAAAAAAAACTTGCCAACTTGAACTTTACCAATTTTAGGGTTATACTAACTTTAGTTTCTTATTTTTTAACACAACATACTGGAATGCAACCTAAAATATTTATTATTAGATACTATTAGACATATTGATGAAATATTTATTAATATATATATATTTATTACTAGATACTATTAGACATATTGATGAAATATTTATTTATTAGATATTGATTAAATTATTATAATTAAATCTTTGTTATCATGTTATTATTGTTATAATCTTTGTTATAATATATGTTATTATTATTTTTAAATTAATTATTACCAATATCATTATTAAATAATAATATACAAGTTTTTAAAATAATTTTTTTTTTTTCAGAAACCTAAACTTTTGTAAGGTTTCATTTTATAAAATATTCATGTGCTTTATGTACTTGTCAAAACTCAATTTCCAAGAAAGAATATTTTAGTTCATGTTTAAAACTTTCAACAAAAGATGTAAAAAGATTTTAACAAACTCAAAACCTTTTAGGATAAAGCTAACTTTTTATCATTCTGCTGGTTAATGAAAGAAATTAATACATTTGCAGCTGATTTCATTTTATTGAAAAAGATACTTCCAATGAGTACCCTAAATAATATCCTCTAAACTATGAATAGTTTGACTCGCTTAATAGTTTGACGCACTTGTTGCTGAGACTAATTCCTATCTAAAAGTTTTGTACTAATGTATAATAATAGTAATCAAATAGTTTTGTACATAATAACAAGGATGATTTTGTACATAATAACAAGGACAATTTTGTACATAATAACAAGGACAATTTTTTACATAACAACAAGGACGATTTTGTACATAATAACAAGGATTGCTTCAAAGGTTTTGGACTAATAACACAAGGATGCAAATCACCTAAAACCTATCTGACAATATTAAAGTTGGTGCAATATAAGGTTGCAAGGACATTTGTACAATTAGCCAAAAATGCTTCTGCTTCTTTTCATGCAAGCAAAGGAAATTTGGAATCACTTTTTTTGAAAATATTTGGAGCTGATTGACAGGCAAACCTACTCCTTATAAAAAATTCTTTTACTATACTGTTCTGTTTGAAAGTAGCATCTATAGTAGGTACCAGCAATTTTTGGCATTAAATTGCTTCAAGTTGTAGTTTATAAGAAAATAAGAGTTAACCCAAAAATAAAAATAAAAAATATAAATAGTAGCTATCTTTTTTGAAAATTTGAAAAATCAACATAAATAAACCGCTATAAAGACGTCATTTTTATTAGAATTACAAAGAAATGCATTATTAAAAATAAGTAAATGTAAACAAAACTTTAACTTTTCAGCGGTTTATTTTATTTTTTCTGCACGAAATTGAAGTTTTTGAGCTAAAAAGATGAATTTTTTTTTCTACTTAAAAAAAAAAATTAAAAAAAAAAAGTAAATTGTCTCTTTAAACCTAAACAAGTTGCAATATTTAAAACCATGTTTTTTTAAAAATGTTTTATTTACTTAAGTTTATCTAATCATATGACTTTTATGTAAAAACCACCCATTTTAAAGGACCTAAACTAAAAAGTCTAAAAAATTATAAAAATTAAAAAATAAATAATTTAAGTTTCATTATACAAGAAAATACGCTGGAAAATATTTTAAACCATAACTTGTTTTAAAAATTCATTAATTATAACTCACTCCAGTTTATGTTTCATAATGAATTATGTATTTAAAAAATTTAAAATAAAAGATAGAATTGAAAAGATTTTCCACATAATAGTTTTATGGTCTAATACAGGTACTCCCGCTTGAAGCACTTGATTTTTCAATAAAAAGTTGAAAATTACTGGTACCTAATATATAGGCCACTGTTCAATTAGAGTAATATCAAATGCTTCATATGATTATTTTTAAATAAATTTTTATATTGATTTAAAGATAATCTTGCAAGAAAGGACATACATTAAAGTGGTTTTTAAAAATATATATTTGACTGCTCCCATGTGTTTAATGTGTTCTATATAACAAAATAACATCGGATCTCAAAAAGCTTATACAAATTATTTCCAGGGATATTGAAAAAAAATTATAATAAAAACATATTTAAAAAAATCCTTAAAAAAATGAACTTTTTACTTTTTAATAAAAATGATAAATAGATAACTGAATTACTTTATTGTAAGGAAGAGGTCCTTTTAAAGGATATCTTAAAGTAGCCGGATCAAGGTTCCATACATTTGAAAAACTTGTATAGCCAATTACAGGTGTAAGACTTGAATGTCCTATTATTGATACCATTTGTGCAAGAGGTTTAAAAGAACTTGTAAATGAAGTAAAATCTTTTCCTAGTACCTATAAAAAAAATATTATAAAATCTTTTCCTATTTCATACTGAGAAAATCATAATACAGATTATTAAAAAATTATTTCAAGACCCAAACTAAGTTACTTCTTTAACTTTTTTAAAAAAATAATACTTATAATAGATTGTTATAATAGATATAAATAATAGATTGTTTTTTTGATTTTCAAAATAAACAATAAATTTAACAAAACATTAAAATAATTAATCTTTCCCCCTAAATTATTGATTTCTCTTACTATTTATTATCACTTAATTTGTTAAAAAAATATTTCTGCACCTAATTTTTTTTTACCCTTTTTAAATTAAACTTACAGTTTAAAAAAATCATTTTTCACTTTCTAGTAATCGTTTTTGAAAAAATAAAAAAATCAAGTTGACCCAGACGTTTATCCCTCAGTTAATCTTGTGCTGATAATCCATTACTGACAATCCAAAAAAATCAAAAAATCAAGTTGACCCAGACGTTTATTCCTCAGTTAATCTTGTACTGATAATTCATTACTGATAATCCAGATAACTGTTTATCCAGATAATTGATATAATTTTTGTCTAAGTTATTTGCATTCCAGAAAGTAAAGAGAGCATATAAAAAATAGGATAAAATTATATATAACATACTCCCTTAACAATAATTTTATGTAAATTGTTGATAATTTGAAGTAAAAAAACAAAAAGTGCTCAGGATGTCCGTGATGATCATAATATCATTCGTGATGATCATAATATCATCCGTGATGATCATAATATCATTCGTGATGATCATAATATCATTCGTGATGATCATAATATCATTCGTGATGATCATAATATCATTTAGAACTAAGTTATTAGTTAATTAAGGACAACAAATCAGGTTCAGAATCATCGCAATCAACCTGCTAATGGAGTGATTGCGATGAATCTGCCCAAGATGAGTATTTTTATGTAGCATTATTTCTATACTTTACTTCACCAGGAGCCTTGGGGCTCCAAGTAAAGTAAAGTATAGAAATGTAAAAATAAAGTAAAGTATAGAAAAGTAAAAATACTCATCTTGGGCAGATGTTAACTGTAATTAACTATTGTTTTGTAAAAGACCTCTTAGTTAAAGGCTTTAGAGGTAGGAAGAAAAGATGTAAACCTGTTTTATGCTATTTCATGCCTAGGATGATGAAAACAGGATCTTTTTGACTATACTCATAGCTATTTGCTTCCATGTTATTGGCTATGCACCTCTATAACTCCTAAAAAGGTACAACTCTAAAAGTAAGTTGAATGATTATAAGTCTAATTAGTAGGTTTTTTGTGATCTGTAAAAGCTCTCAGAAAGCTTGGTTTCATTAACAGATGTAAAATATTAACTAATTTACTTAATTAAATAGTATTAACATATTTACACACAGGGACACCATCCATGTTGCTCATGGATGGTGTCCCTGTGAGTGCTTTTGGTGTGCATTGTCAAGACTACATAAGGAGCCTTTTGTTACAAACTTTGGTTAATCAGCAAGTCTAAGGCAACTGCAAAGCTTAGGGTAGCCTACAACCAAGTTCTTTAATTAACTAAAAAATCGGTAAAATATCAAAAAATGGTAAAAAATATATTAAAATGGTAATGAATAAATAAATAAATGTAGAATTCACCACATCTATATGCTATTTGTGAGAATTTGAGTTTTTTATATGCCATTTTATTGCAATTTTAGATCTCAGTGTTGATGGCTATTAAAATTTTATTCACTGAGAGTCCAATAGTCACATGCTTAATCTGGGCATATACTTACGAATCCATTTACCTATATATTGTAAAACTAGGTTTGAATTCTCTTATTATGCTTCTATATGCTTCCAATTAGCAAATATTCACTCAATCACCTTTCTATTTGTTCTTAATCTTTTTTCTAATCAAGTTGACCCAGACGTTTATCCCTCAGTTAATCTTGTGGTTATTGGTGATTTTAATGCTCATCACACTAAATGACTTGGCTTTAGATCCACTTAACAGACACAAAGCTCATCACTTTTGTATTACTCAACATCTTACTCAATATAGTTAACTTTGTGAATCATTCAAAAAACACTAATCACATTTCTTTGCCACTTGATTTATGTTTTATCTCTAACCATAGCATGTGGTCAGTTTTTTGTTCTCCTTTAGGTGACCAGATCATTATAATGAAAGATTTAGAGAGATCATTCCATGATCTCTCTAAAACTTTCATCTTATACTTCTTCAGACTCACCTTAACACTTCTTACTAAAACCTTTAAGCTGATTGGGATTACTTTGTGACTTCCATTCTTGATAATTATCCTCATAATCACCTAAAATAAAATAATCCTACATAATCACCTAAAATAAAAGGTAGGTTTGGAAGATTTTATTCCTTTTCAGTTTCAAGTCAAGCCTTATTCTACCCCATGGTTTTCACCCTTTGTGTAGCTAATATTTTTAATCATATTCATTTCTTTCATCATTTTCACAAGAACATCTCTCTTGAGAACAAATATCTTTTTATTAGCGGGAAAAAGTCTAAAATTTCATGTCTAATAAATGCCACTAATTTGATGTTTTTCATAACACTTTAAACCATTCGATCCTCTTTTTTTACAGCTTTCAATAAAATATGGCAGACAGGTCTTCTTCATAAGCTCACTGATTTCTTCTTAAAATCTGGCATCTTCTTCAAAAGCTCTCTGTGATAATTGATTCACATAATTTAAGGAGATAATTGATTCACATAATTTACAGCTTTTAGAATTTTAAGATTAAAAAAAAAAACTTACCCAATGAGGATGAAAGTTATCAACAGGATACAATTTATAAATCTGAAAAACATTAAAAAAAAATTCATTTGAATTCACAAACTAAATGAAAATATTAGGCAAAATTTTTTTAATTTTATATTTTTTTATATTTTTAACTTTTATATTTAAGTTTTATAAAAAAACATGTCAAAAAAGTAAACTTAAATTTTTGATTTTAAATAAAGGTGAGTTTCCACTCATCACGGAAATGGGAAAGGAAAGGAAAAAAATAATCACGTGGATATGCGCAGTACAAGCTTTAATTTATCCGAAGGAAAACTAGGCGTATTCAAGTGATTATTTTTTCCTTTCCTTTCCCGTTACCGTGGAAACTCACCTTAAAGTAGTACTTTTACTTTTTTACTAATAAAAATAATAATAAAAAAAATTAACATAATTAAAAAAACTCAGTCAACATAATAAAAAAACTACCTCATTTAATACAAAGTAGCTTGGAAGCAAACAGACACTTCTATCCAAACCTAAGTCTATAATCTAGATAAAAAGTAAAATTGTCTCAATAATAAATGAAATATCTTTGAAACATAAAGTATAAAAGTTAAAAAAACTCACTCTTTTTGTTTCTTCAACCAGATAAAGTTGAGAGTTCATTATCCTTTCAGGTAACTCACTTTTCACTTTACATAACAGAATAGAAAAAACAGCTCGAACACTCTTTAAAATTAACAATAAATTTTATTCAGTTAAAAAATAGGAATGAAATTAATAAAAGTTTAAATTATGTTTTTGGAAAACAAGAAAAAATAACAATCTTAGAAAATTAAACACACCACATGAAATTTTGAAAATTTAATGCACAACACATTTTTTATAACAAATACAATATCATGACACTTTTTATACACATCCTCAATCCTCGGAATTAGGTAAAAATTAGGTTGGTAATAATTTACCGACCTTATCTTTTAGAGGTTCATCTCTTAGACCTCATCTTTTAGAGGTCAGCATCAGGTCAGCAAAAAAAATTGATACAAAGGTCTTACCATAAAATATAGAAACAAGGTTGGCAAAAAATTGCAGATCTCTAACACTTTTAGGTCAGTATTGAATTGTATAGAGAACCAGATACTGTGATCAAAAAAAAGATTTCAAGTGCCAGAGATATTAGAAAAATAAAAAAACTTATCAAACAGAATTTTCAAAACTGAAAAAGGAACATTGGAAGATTACACTTTCAAGATTACACATTACATTTCAAGATTACACTTGGATCCTTATAAATTGCAAACTAGGATTCAAGAGCAGAAAAGTACTAAAGCAGCTAAAGCTAGGTGTAAGCTAGCTTTAGCTGCTTTAGTACTTTTCTGCTGTAAGCAAATACGAGCAACCCTCGTATTTAGGAAAAATGAGGTTAGCAAAAAACTGCAGACCTTAAAGGGATCCCAAACTCCCAACACATGTTGTGTTCATATTAAAGATAATGTTAAAAAAAAAAGGTTTGAACCAAGTTTTTTTGATTAAAAATAAATAATGAATGCATACTGAGAAAAACGAATGTTGTTGTTTTAGCCGAAGCTTGGCTTCTCTATTTTTTTCAATAACTCGGAGTCTTTAAATTATACGTTGCAATCTACAGACATTGGCAATTCCTTTGAAGCGCGTTTAATTCATAAAAGTTTTAGCATTTGATATCACGGTAGATTTTTTAACAAAAGAAAAGTGTAATTAAACAAAGCATTTTTCTATTTTAACTCAAAAAAAAAATTTTTAACTTACACCAAAACAACTTTGACAACAAATTTTTGTAAAAATCAAAAATAATAAAAGCTTTTTATTTCATAAGAGGAACTTTTTTTTTACCGTAATTTTTAGATTTATATATCTTACTTATATTTCTTTTGTTTTTAAATTAAAACAAATATTAAAGCTTTACTTACGAATCTTATGATTTTCATACGAGTGTTTTACATTATATAGAACGTTATGTGTACGGTCCAGGCTTGGTCGGGAAGCGGGTGCTATCGCACTCGATAACTGACCACGGAAATAATATTTAGTTGCGAAAAACTGGCCAGATTTTTTAGTCGTTTTGAGAACATTAAAGTTTATGTATGTTTCCTTGTTCGTCCGCAAAATAGTAAGTTCATTTTGTCGCAAATTTTAAAATATTTTGTTTTACGGACTTACTTGGAAACGTGTATAAACTTGAATGTTCTCAAACATCTTAGTACGGAAAAATAAAGAATATTCGCGAACACAAAAAACCCGCCAAATCTAATTCTATTGGTTCAAAAAATACTAACCAAAATTTTTACTATTCATAAAAAACTAAGCAAATGTCCTGAGTATTCTATTAAAATATTTTAAAAAACTGTATTATTTGAATTTTGTTACGTTTTTGTTAAGATTTCTAGCATAAATTATTTTAAGAGTATACTATCAAACAAACTAATATTTTAATTCTTGGAGCCACATCTGCAAAGCTATAAATAGTTTAAACTAACATTTGTTTACAATAATAAATGTTTTAAAATTATATTTTTTAACTTGTCAACGTTTTGTAAATACATTTTAGATTTTATTAGTATATTATTATTTTTTATATATAAGGGATGTATTTTTTATGTATGTAATGTATTTTTATTTTAATGTATTTTATGTATGTAATGTATTTTTATCTATGTAATTTTATCTATGTGTATTTTATTCAAATGTAATCTTTTAAAGCAATTTGTGCGATTGATTTTGTAAACAAAAATACTTCTAATAATAACTGCGTTTTCAATGAAATTATTAATAATCGTCAAAGTTAATACAAATAATTTTAATCACTAATCCATTTTCCTCAGAGTACCCGATAACTGATTCTTTCTCCCAAGAAAGAAAAGTTTTTAAGTTCTTAGAAATTGGTTTACTAACTTCTACTATTTTTGCTTCAGCCATTTTTACAAACTCGTTATACTTAAAGTTACTTTTTTCTATTTTAAATACTAAATAAAATTATGAAGTCCACTTACTAAACATCATCAGCGGTGTTTTGAAGCAGTTCCGCTTCCTCCTCACAAAGTAATTTAACGTTTTTTGTTAATTTCTATCTAGCTAATTGAATTGCTACAGTAACTCAATGATTTAATTATTTCATTTGTTCATCTTATTAAGAAGAATCGTTTCAAATCTGTTAAACTTTTTAAACTACGCGAAGCATAAAACAGTTATTGAAAAATCTTTTTTATTTATAAATAAATCATCTGGTTGAATCTTGTTGGACTTTTCAGGGACGGGGGCTGCACTATTTTGGCGGGCTTTTTTATGTGCCACAGCGTAAAAATGACTTTAAAAAAATACAGAATGGTCTTCTTGACCATCATTTTCCCTAACATTGTGAGTCCCGCGGCTAAAGCCTTTCTACCCCCACCCCACTTTCTCAATCCAGCACTGGAAATAAGACATAAGTATATAAATAAAAATTATATATACTCTTTGATAAATCAAAGAACATCTTATTGCGCTTTTTTGTTTGTTTTTGAAATGTTCTCAAAACGACTAAAAAATCTGGCCGGTTTTTTGCAACTAAATAATATTTCCATGGTCATTTATCGAGTCCGATCGCACCCGCTTCCCAACCAAGCCTGGTACGGTCTCTCGTTTTTGTGCAAGAGAGCGCAGTATTATATATTCTGAATCTTACTTATTTTTATTTAAACAATGGGAATTTTTTTCTAACTTCTCTGGTTATTTTTACGCTATGATATTTTTTGTTTTCCCGTCGAAAAAAAGTATTAACAATTAATTTCATAAACTGAGAGTATTAATTAGAGATATTTGATGAATTGTTAACTTTTATTATAAAAATTTTTTGATTACGCTGATTTATTTTAAACTGCTAAATTTGATAAATTGGATACGGATAAAAAGGAAATATCATTTTATTTTACATTTGATTTTTGATAATGAAACTTTTAAAATGTCAGCAACTCCATATTAATTAGAACCTGTTAAGGTTATGAAAAAAAGTACAAGAATACACTAAACAATACAGTTGACAGTTTTATCAGATATGAAAATTCGTGAAAGGATATGTGAGATCCTGGTTTAGCATTAAAAGTACAATTAATAACAACACAAGTCGGCATTATAAATTTTGATTATTAGTTTACTGTCCAATATTTTATAACCATCAAATAAAAAACGTGAAGTTTGTATATTTTTGCCCGCTTTATACAACTAATATTTAACAAAAATACGGACAAATTATTATTATATAACGCAATAATTAACACATTAATTAATGGTAATAATTCAAGATAATTGGTAATTTAAATTGTTAAAATGTCATAACGCGCGTTAAAAAACATATTATATTTGGTATTTCCCAATTTGTATAGTATTTGGCATTTGTCTCTTAACATGAAAAATTAAAAGTTTTAAAACACAACAAATACAAATTTTAAAGCAATTTTCTCTTCCAATTTTCATTTATTCAAAGAAAAATTACTATTAAACTTTTATTTCTCTCATCTAAAAAAAGAATGATTGACGCAAAAAAATATATATATATATTCTATACAACTCTTATTCATTCGAAGTTTAATTACGCGAAACTTTTCTTTCTCTTTTGTTCTACTCTTATAAAAAGAGCGACCAATGAAATAAAAACTTTTCTTTCTTAACATAAATTTATACTTAGATATAAAATTAAATTAGAAATAAAGCAACAATCAACAAAGCAACTAACAGATTAATCTGGGACTTTTTGATATTAATGAAAATAATCAACATAAATAACATTACCAACAGCAATTATCAAATAAACGACACAATATCGCATAATTTTAGGGGTTTTTTATTTTTATTGCTTAGTCGTTCTAAATAATAAGTAAATTTAGTTCAAGTTAATATTTCAATATTTACAGTTGCAATATAATAAAAAAAATGATGTTTAATGTTGAACTTTTTATTTAATTATTTATTTTTTACCTACATTTGTTATAAAAAACTTTTAAACCCTCGCCATTAAAATAATTTGTTTTGAATATATTTCAAAGTGATTATTCAAACTAACTTTTTTCGCTTGACTTCCCGAACTTCATAAAAAGCAAATTGAGACGAAATATTATCTAACCAAATAAAAATGCTTTTACTAATTTTATAAGGGTAATTAATGTGAAACAATTTTTTATCAGAGTCTTGATTGAGATAATAAATATTCATAATTTATAAACATTAAATATATGGCGCAATAACAATTTATAGCAACGAACCAGCATAAAATATTTGAGGTTTTTATTATCTTTTTAAATGTTAAAAATAGGAAAAAAAAACTTACAAATAATCAAAAAAAGTTCGAATAAAAATAAATAAAAATATTTCCCGAGTTTCATTTGTTAAAAGTCTACCGTGATGACAAATACTAAAACTTTTATGAATTAAACGCGCTTCAAAGGAATCACCAAAGTCTGTAGATTGCGACGTATAATTTAAAGACTGTGAGTTATTGAAAAAAATGAAGAAGGCGAGCTTCGGCTAAAACAACAACGGTATGCATTCATTATTTATTTTTAATCAAAAAAACTTGGTTCAAACCTTTTTTTTTAACATTATCTTTAATATGAACACAACATGTGTCGGGAGTTTGGGATCCCTTTAAACTGTTAGAGGTCGGCAAAAATATTTCAACACAAAGGTTTTACTATGAAACGTAGAAACAAGGTCGGCAAAAAATTCCCGACTTCAAACACTTTTACGCCAGCAGTTATCATAGACAGCAGTTAGGACGTTAGCAGTTAGCCCTAATTCCAAGGGCTACGCACACTACAGTTTTTGTTATTTCATTATTATGACATAACAATGAGTTAACAAAAGCTCACAAACTGATATAAGTATGAAATTATAATGTAGTTGTATGTATTGAAGTTAAAATGCAGATATTAAAAGTAACAACATCATCATGCATAAATAGTATGCTTATGATGAACCAAAGCTTATTTAAAGTTGAAATTAGCCAGCGCCAAGTACTAAGTTTCATACCATGCTTTGTATACACCAATATAAAAAATTAAGATGAGATTGTTTATTGTGCATTTTTGACACACAAAAAAGAAAAAATATTGAAAATTGAGTTTGACCCTTATAATATAAGAGAGTACTATATAGTGAACTCTCATATTATAAGAAACAAACAACAAACAAAACCAACAAACAAACAAAGGAGAAAAAAAACATCCTATTCTTACTTTATAGTCCATAAGTGGTAAAAAGTAAAAAAGAAAATTCAAACTCTGAATCCAAACATTGCTATTTTCAAACTTCAAGTGTGAAGAATTAAGTACTGCCTCACATGCTTTCCTAATAAAGAAATTATGTTTAAATTATTAAACACACACAAACATATACACAAATACACATATATACTTCAATATTTTTTTTATGACGTGTGTGTGTGTGTATATATATATATATATATATATATATATATATATATATATATATATATATATATATATATATATATATATATATATATTAGGTTGACCGGAAAGTAATGTCGTATTTTTACGTCAAATTAAAACAAATAATTTTTTTATAATATTTATTTTTAATCAATGATATAATCACCCTCATTTTCCACAACCTTTTGCCATCGAGCGGGCAAACTTTCTATACCTGATCGAAAAAAATGTATTGGTTTGTCATTAAAATATCTGGAGATGCCATTTTTTAAGCAGTACAAAGTTTGAAATTTTTTGTCACTTAGAAAGTGCTGTAAGGATCGGAACAAATGAAAATCTGAAGGGGCGATATCAGGTGAATATGGAGGGTGGGGCAGCACCTCCCATCCCAATTCATTAATTTTTTCTAGCGTCCGTCGTGCACAGTGCGGCCTTGCATTGTCATGTTGAAGAATGACACCTTTTCTGTTGACGATAGCCGGGTAATTCTCAACTAGAGCTTGGTTCACTCGATCCAATTGTTGACAATAAAGGTCCGCATTAACAGTTTGTCCAGGAATAAGCACTTCAAAGTGGACGATTCCGCGGATGCTCCACCAAACACACAGGAGCGCCTTCTTGGGGTGTAATCCCGGCTTTGCAGTACTGCGTGCTGGTTCATTTGGGGAGAGCCACTGCCTTTTGCGTTTTGGATTATCGTATAGGACCCATTTTTCATCTCCAGTGACCAAACGATCAAGAAACGGTTCTGCATGGTGCCGTTGAATCAATGCATTGCACGTGGTTGATCTGTTGGCTTTGTTTTGCACTGACAAGTTATGGGGGACCCAAACACCTGCTCTGCTGATTTTTCCTATCTGGTGTAAATGTTCTTGGATGGTCGACCAAGGTTGGTTAAGGGTGTTCGACAATTCTTCGATGGTTTGGCATGGATTTGCTTCAACTTCTGCCCTTAGAACGTCGTTGTCTAATGACATTGGTCTTCCTGGTCGATGGGCGTCAGAAAGATCAAAATTCCCAGATCTAAACTTGGAAAACCATCTTTGGCATTTGCGAACATCTAATGAACCTGGGTAAACATCACTAATGTTCTTAGTCGCAACTGTAGCGTTATTACCCTTGCGAAATTCAAAAAGCATACAATGACGAATATGTACTTCCTGTATTTCGTATGCCATTTCACTCCAATTTGCAAAGAAAACTATTTAATTTTAAATAATTTAGAAGTAAACAAGTCACACTAATATAAAAATAACCTGTGCACGTGTTCGAGATACACAATAAACTGGCCAACAATTATCGAATGTCAACATGCGCAAAAACGACATTACTTTCCGGTCAACCTAATATATATATATATATATATATATATATATATATATATATATATATATATATATAGTTAGATTTGTTACAACAAAAGTAAAAATAATTGACATAATACAATCATAGATTGTCAGATTACAGTTAGTTTTAGTGAAGCTCATAATGCAACTTCCATTAAGGAAAGCTGCAAGCTGTAGTAATATTGGAGCCTATTGAGGCTTGCTTTGAAGCTATTGACAGTAGGAGAATTGATTACTTTATTTGGTAAGATGTTCCATCCATTGACAATGCAGTTGTTAAAAAAGTTAAAACAAGCTTAATTGTTGCTATATTTTTCACGGTAAAGTCTATCTGTGATTTGCTCTTGGTGGAATTGTGATAGGAGGAAAGTGCCCATTGACTATGTCAATGTTATTATTAATCTTATATTTTTGGATAACGTCACCTTGTTTACAATGGTTAACTTGAAAAGCTAGGCTAAGCTGTAAATATCTGGTATTTTTGTGGCTCTGCCCTGTATTAGCTCAATAATTTATTCATCCTTCACCAAATGAGAACTTCCAAGCTAGAACTGCAAACTCAAGTAAAGGACAGACATGGGTGGAGTAGAATTGTTTCCATAGGTGGTTGCTTCCAGTGTAGTTAGAGTTGTTATTGAACAAGAGCCTGATTCCTTAATTGAGTACTCAAAGTGAGTTAAACTTTTTTGGCCAAAGTGCATGACTTTACATTTCTGCACATTTAGCTCCATGAGCCAAGACTTAGTCCAATAAACAATTTTGTCAATAATTTTATGAAGTTGAGCAGCAAAAGAGTTGACAATGCTCAGAATTTTAGTGTAAATCGTTGATGAAAATGACAAATAAAGTTGGTCCTAAGACTGCTCCTTGCAGAACCCCACTTGTCACAAGTAACCAACTTGATTGAGTGTCACCAAGGATAACTCATTGAGATATGTTGAATAAAAAAGCTTTTATTGAACTAAGAAGATTTCATTCAATTCCATACATTTTTAGTTTATGAAGCATTTGCTGATGTGGCACTTTGTCAAATGCTTTGGCAAAATCCAGGAATAGGACGTCAGCTGGTAGTTTTCCGGCCATATTTCCAGTCAAGAAGTCCAATGCATTACGAACCTATTTGTTTCAAATAGGTTCGTAATGCATGTTTTTTTCTCTAAAAGGCCGTGTTTACTATTTGATAGAAGATTATTTGATTTTAGATGCTGAATGATTTCTAGTTTCTCCGTTATTTTACACTGAGTTTTGCACACAAGTTTGGAAGTTTTAAGAATATATTTTTTCCACCATAAAAAGAACAGTCAAACTCTAAAAGATGCCATAAAAACAGCAGGTAAAAGAAGAAGATTTTTGAACTCAGTAAATTGTCTTTTTGATAATACTCATCACAATGCATTGAAGATGATAAAAATAGAAAAAGATTAAATATTTCTTGTAGACCAACATTTAGAAAGAAAATATGCCATAGGAGGTGTAGATAGAATTTTGGCAGAAAAAGAAGAAAGTAAAGATTCAAGAATGTAAAAGAAAGTTCAATGTGGTATCAAAGAAGAGGAGAGAAAGCAAAAATCCAAAGAATGTTTGGAAATAGAAAAATTGTCTAGTTTCAGGATTAGAAACAGAAAAACTTTTGGTAACTCCTAAAGTGGTACAAGGGACTGGTAAGCTTATAGCAAATGCAACTATTTGATTTTGCAATTTCCAATCAGAAATAGCAACCATTGTTGCTATTTCTGATTGGAAATTGCAAAATCAAATAGTTGCAATTTCTTTAGACACTATGGCATCAAACACAGGTCGACTAAATGGTGCATGCACAATTTTAAAAAGAAAACTTGAAAAAATTTGCTCTAGTTGGCATGTCATCATCATGTGCATAAAGTTCTATGTGGCGATGTCTATAAGGCAGTATTCGATCCATCCTCTGGTCCAAATGTGTTTTTGTTTTGTAGATTTCAGGAATATTGGCCAAACATAGACCAAGAAACATATACAGCTTGTCTAAAATAATTTATGCTTTAAAGATTTTCTTATTTCAAACTCAATTTAAGCTCACTAAATGTGAAGTTTCAGGGTGCTTGGAATTTGGTTTGATTGTTGCACTTATCTATGCAAAAGCATGGATAACCTGCTCATACTCATTTGATGCTCCATTCAACAATATAAATCTCAAAAAAGCATTAACAAAGTACAGTTCAACAACTTCATTGAAAGTGGTGGGTCGCCATTTATGGTATCTTGGAGAAGAACTAGCACCGCTTGTTCTGTTTTCTGATCTGGTGCCTTTTATGACGAAAAAATTTATGGTAGCAAAATTGCAAGATCAGATTGCAGACAATCAAGAACTCAATTGTTGATCAATCCGAATCACTGGAACAAAACCTCTGAAGAATTTCATTGGGCCATCTTCTTGTTTCTTTTTTGATGCCTTACAGTTAGACATATCCTTTCTTAAGGAGGATGTTGAGAAGTGGTCAGATATTCCAAATTAAAAAAGGCTGCAAAGAAAACCGTTAAAACACTATAAGTTGTCAATGATAGTGCAGAAAAAGGAATTGCTCTAGCCACTGCATTTAATTCTACAATAACAAACAAGAAGAGCAAAAACAATATATGTTTCTGAACCACTCTAATATATATATATATATATATATATATATATATATATATATATATATATATATATATATATATATATATATATATATATATATATATATATATATATATATATATATATATATATATATATATAAATTATGTTAGTGTATTCTACAAATAGATTGCTCAATGTTCTTAAAGAACAGAGCAATAATCTCCATCAGTAGGATCATCAGGAAGCATCTTGATGATCCTATTGATGGAGAAACAAGCTGTAGAAGAAAATAAAAATTAGATAAGTGTTTTTACTAATTTATATATATATATATACATATATATACATATATATATATATATATATATATATATATATATATATATATATATATATATATATATATATATATATATATATATATATATATATATATATATATATATATATATATATATATATATATATATATATATATATATATACAAAAGGCAGTTAGGAAAAACAACCAGTCACAAAACCTTTTTTTATTTAGTTATTCAAAAACCAAAACTTCTACAAATACCATAGGTGTCCATAATACATAATATTGCTATTTTGTGCAGCATAATCAATTCATAAGAGGATTAAGGTTTCTTTCTCAGTTACAAAGTTTACTGGATTTAAGGAAAAAAATTTTGCCAGTAAGAAATTTTGATCAAGAAATGCAATAACACAACTAGAACACATTAATAACACAACTGAGTCTTATCTGACTAAATTTGATCAGTCCATATCATACTGTCATTATTATATAGGACTTTTTTTATTTTTTTTTTTATTTTGAAGCTCAAAAGTACTTTTTTTTTAACCCTTTTTGACATTTTTCGACCAGTGTGTGCCACCCTTAAGCATTATTAAATTCAAATTACTTTTTTTACATATTCTTGCAAGAACCTATATAAGAAAATAAAAAGGCACTCTATACGTATTTTTTCTTCAGCACTGAAAAACTTATAGAAAAGTCGCTAAATATTGACAAAAAAACGATTTTTTTTATTTCAATGATCGCGGTAGCTTTCAATGCTGCTTGTGATAAATAACATGTAGACATGGCAAAAACTTCAAAACTACATATACCTATACTAATATCAAATTGTGATGCTTTGAAAAAATTTCAGTGATCGGAGCCTGAGATCTAGAAAAACTGTAAAACTTAGGCCCCCCCCTGCCCAAAAGGTGAGGGCAATAAGTTGCCCAAATTATTACTAATGTTATTCTGAACTAAATTTACATTTATCGACAGATTTTAAATTTAATTTAATAACATTGTAGCATTCAAAAGTTATGATCATATAAAGTTGTAACTCTCCTCAAAAAGGGGGGGGGGGTTAAAAGCTCAACGTATAGTTTTATGGTATTTTTATTACAAAATCTAGTTTAATGTATTACATAATTTTTGATGTTAAACTTAGAGATAACTCTAGATGAAGTTGGATTACCACTCCCCTAATGATATAACTTTATTACAAGTTGCAGGTAGAGAATTGGGAATAAATAAAAACAAAATTAAAGTAATTTTAAAATTTTTTTTTTTTTTAATTTTAAATAACCAAAAATTAGCATTTTAAATTACTACTAATTACATTTGCTTTTCTTTGTCCCTTTTTTATTTCTTTTGTAAACATAGTTTAACAAGAACAAATCGTGTCTCTTCTTCTCTTTCGTTGATTTTCCAATCAGCTCTTTTACTAGATTTATTGTCCTCTCTGACGAATCGTTAACCACATCTAAAGATTTAATAGTAAATTCAAACTCAAGATAAAAATCATTAAACTTTTAAAACTGCGAGGAGATCTTAAACCACTGCAACTCATCCTTTTCATGTCCCGTCTTATCAAAGATGAGTCAAGATTGCTCAGTTATTAGAGAACAAAGAGATGGAGGCTGATCTTGTAAAAAGTCTAGAGAGTGAAGAACCTCTTTATTGACCATAACACGTTCAAGTGGATACACTATTGGTTTGATGGGAAGTTTATTGTATAATGATGTGGCAATATCTTCTCTGTTTGGGAAATGTTTATCTGCTAATGCAAACACAACTAAGGCAGGATCAAGGTACCAGCAGATTTTATTGCTAAAGTAGCTCCAAGAAGATTTATATCCATGAAACTCTTCATCTGCCACAGAGCTTTCATATCCTAAAAATATATTTAACAATATTAGATTAAGTCATCAATTGGAAAATTAACTCTTCATTTTTTACGCTTTTTTCTTATTTATAATGATTATTTTTAACCTAATATGGCACAGCAGTTGCCGATACTGCTCTAAGAAACCATTGAGTGTAAAAGATACCGACAAACATAGCCATTTCACAAATCTTTTTTTTATTTTCTTCTGATAAACTTGGAATAGCTTCCAATAGTAAATACATTTTAAGATAATACAACGCTTTTGACATGAACCTTGTATGATGTATTGAAATACGAAATTTGAACCTATCTTTTTGAGAAACTACCATCAAAGATAGTTCCGCTAACTCTTGATAATCCTTTCTTGATTTACCATCCTAAAAATAAAGGATTTTTTATATTTATGATTATGATTTATTTTATTATAATTGTGTATACAGATTGTTTAAGTTATTTTAAGCAAGCTACTACAAAACTGTAATTTACCTTTTTGTAGATCCTGTTATCTATTACATCTCTGTAGAATTTTTCAGCCTCAAGATGTTGTTTATTTATCCAAGTTCCATTTGGAGTTTCAATCCTCTTCAATATAACAATGTCTTTTTCAAGGTCATTCCAGACAGATTTCAGGTGTTTAAAGAGCTGATTTTCTAGACCAGACGTTTTACTACTGGGATATATCTTGTTAAAGTGGGTAATATGTCTTTCTAATATATGATATCTACAGGCAAGGAAAAGTAGTGGCCTTCCCAACTTATCGGCCATTCTTGTTATAACTCCTTGGTGCTTTCCAGTGTTGGAAGCTGTAGTATCAAAGCATATACACTGTATATGATGACTAAGGCCAAAAGAATCTAATAGATTATAAACTGTTTTGAACTGAATTTCCCCAGAACCTGACTCAATATAAGAAATACCTAGGAGCTCAGTTTTCCAATTGACTTTCACTAGTACTGCTAATCTTTCTCTTGTAACTGAAACTTTATCTGTATATTCTTTAAATATTTTCTAGTCAAAGTGAACAGAAATCAGCTTATATTTGGAGTCAGTCAAGTCTTTTATATACTGTCTAATTTTTTGAGCTTCCGAATTTATTACTTTTATCTACAGAAGAGATGATGATTTGGACACAACAAATTTATTTATTTCTCTTCCTGAAATAGCTATAACACTGTTTATGATAACAGTGTGCTGATTGATAGAAAGACTTTCTCCTACAGCAGTTAGTGCTGTACGCTTTAAAATATCTTTAGGCAGTAATAAACTTTGCTCTTCTTTATGAGACAACCTTGTCTTTTTTTCTTCTGCATTTTCAAGAACATAATGTCCATACATTTACTTTCTTCAGTTCTTTCTCTATCCATTTTTATTTCATCAATCATGATTTGTATCTCATGTCCTAACCAGAATACCCTTTAATATTCTATTAAGAAGTTCTCTTTATATTTTATTGCTCCTGGTGTTGATCTGTTTCTTAGCGATTGCAGCTTTTTGTATTTCAATACTACAGCCTCGACTTCTTTCCTAAAAATAAGACTTGTTAAATAACTGTAAAGCTAATTTAGATTAAGATTTTATAAATATTACTAACTGTAAAACACATTGTATGTCACGAGTTCTGTATCCACCAAGTTCCCATGAAACCTTCAGCTTAGATATAATGCAGCAGTTCTCTCAAGAATCTGGACAATTCAGTGTAAATGTAGAACCTTTGTTTGGACAACAAACTAAGTTTTTGAGAGAAGTTGATGGTTTGGACTCACATAAGTAAAGATAATACTGTATAACTTCTTCTACAGTTGCAAATTAAATAGATAATAGAGGCTTTCTAGTTTTTTTAACTAAGAATATTTCTTGGTCTCTTTTTCATTTTTTAAAGAATTTTTGGCATAATTTTTTATTTTACTATTTTTTTAAGTAAATAAATTATAATAAAATTGATTTTTATTTTAAAATAAACACTTTATCAACGTTAATAAATTTTGTTTAATGTTATTAAAATAGCAGAACATTGAGTATGATTATTACATTTGAACAATGAGATCATTCCGCAGTCATTGAAATAGTTGCGTGTAAAGAAATAATAAAAAAATTAATTAGATTTGAAAAAAAAATTGTTCTTTGGTATTTTTAAAGGACATTTCCTAAGTTTTCAAAAAATAAATTGACTTAGAGTGCCTTTTTAATTTTTTGTATAGGTCCTTGCAAGAATATGTAAAAAAAATAATTTGAATTTAATAATGTTTAACGGTGGCACACGCGGGTCGAAAAACAAAAGTATTTTTGGGCCGTGTGCCACCCTTAAACTTCAAAATAAAAAATTTTTTAAAAATTCCAATATATAAAACAAGGGTCCTTTAATTTTTTTTGAAATTGGCTTTGGGATTTCTTAAACTTTATTGATTTTACCAAGTTAAATAGTTCTGTCTCAAAGTTTTCTAACTCTTTGCATTGTGGGAGTGATTTTTTCGTTTTTAAACCAAAATTTTCTCATGTACTTGTTTCGGTGTTGTTCATCAAAATTTAAAGGACTACATTTCAAAAATTAAAGCTAACCCAAACATCCTAATATTTGCAGACAAAACCAACAACATTTACCAATTACCCCTAGAAGATTACTCCAAATTATTGAAAGAAAACATCACCAAAACATACAAAAAACCCCCTAAAAAACTAGAAAATTCAATCAACCTCGAAGTAAAAAGCATAGCAATTAAACTAAATATAAACAAACAAATCAATATAATCGCCAAATCAGAAGCATTCATTACATTAAAAGACCACAAAAACAACTTTGAAAATCAAAAACCTTGCTGCTTATTAAATCCAGTAAAAAGTGAACTCAGTGTTGTCAGCAAAACATACCTAGATAAAATCAACAAGGACTTAAAAAATAAATTATAACTAAACCAATGGAAAAACATCGCAGAAGTAATCAAATGGTTTATAAATGTAAGCAACAAGCAACACTGTGTATTTATACAACTCGACATCAATGAATTTTACCCATCCATCACAAAAGACATATTAAATAACGCTTTAATATTTGCAAAACAGCACACTGAAATCAGCAGTGAAAAAATTCAAGTCATAAATCATTGCAGAAAATCGCTATTATTTTTTAAAAAGGAAGCATGGATAAAAAAGGCGTATAATGATTGTTTTGACGTTGCAATAGGTTGTTTTGATGGAGCCGAAGTATGTGAACTGGTAGGTTTATACATTCTAGACTCTTTATCCAAAACCATTACTAAAAATGATATAGGTCTTTACCAAGACGACAGATTGATAGTGATGCGCAAAAAAACTACCGCACAGTTAGACAAAGTCAGAAAAAATATAATTGAGATATTTAAAAAGATCAGATTTTAAATAGAGATTCAAACCAATTTAAACAGTGTTAACTTTCTTGATTTAATTATTAATCTTCAAAAAAACTCCTACCAACATTTTAAAAAACAAAATGACCAGCTGCTCTACATCCACACCGAATCAAACCACCCGCCCCAAGTTCTTAAGTAGATTCCGCTCTCCATTAATGATCGATTATCGCAAAATTCTTCCATTGAAAAAACATTTAATGCTTCAAAAACAGAATACGAAGAAGCACTTGAACAAAACGGTTTTAAAAACTTTAACTCAAAGTACAACCCAAAAAATAAGACACATCCCAAAAGAAAAAGGAATATAATTTGGTTTAACCCACCCTACAATAAAAGCGTCTCCACCAATGTTGGCCAAATCTTTTTGCAATTAATAAATAAACATTTCCCACTTTCAAATCCATTACATAAACTATTCAATCGAAACACTACAAAAATTAGCTACAACTGCTCAAACAACATTTCAAAAATTATAAAAAGCTACAACGAAAAAATAAATTTAATTAACACCACTGAAAATCTCCCTTGCAATTGCAAACAAAAAGAAATCTGCCCGCTGAATAAAAATTGTAGAGCGACAAACATCATTTACAAATGTATAACATCTTCCCCAAACACACCCAGCAAAGCATACATTGGTTTATCAGAAGGAGTGTAGAAAAAGTGGTATGCAAACCACAAGCAATCATTTTCAAATAAGAAACTTTCAAATGCAACCACTCTCTCAAAACATATTTGGGAAACTAGAGAAAAACTGAAAGAAACACCAGAATTAACTTGGTCTATCCTAAAAAAAGCCCCCGCCTACAACAATACAACAAAAAAATGATTACTATGTTTATATGAAAAACTTATTATTTTGCTTTATAAAAATGCTGAAGAGCTACTCAATAAAAAAACAGAGTTGATTTCCAAGTGTTGTCACGAAAATAAATTTCTATTGAGCAACCACAAACCTGAAAATTAGATACACGCGGTTGTAACAATAAAAAAAGTTTTTTCCATATAGGTTTTTTCTGTATAGTTTCAATTGTATATAACTTTTTAAATGAACAAACTATATTTGTATTTCACCTGATGATCACCTGATGATTGCATGTCATATATATATATATATATATATATATATATATATATATATATATATATATATATATATATATATATATATATATATATATATATATATATATATATATATATATATATATATATATATATATATATATATATATATATATATATATATATATATATATATATATATGTATATATATATATATATATATATATATATATATTTATATATATATATATAAATATATATATATATATTTTTTTTATTTATATATATATTTTTTTATTTTTATTTTATTTTTTATTTTTTTAAGTTGATTAAGGTGCCCCAAGAAGTCCTTACAGTCTTATCACAGAGCACCCCAGAAGAGCATTTAATAGGAAGTTCACGCCTCCTTTCCAACCGATGTCGCAAAACTCGCCCAGAGGTGGGGTTTGAACCACGGATTTTACGTTTCTGAGGTAAGTGGCGCTACGGTTGCATTAAATATATATATATATATATATATATATATATATATATATATATATATATATATATATATATATATATACTACCACTGCGCCATGGTTGCATTAAATATATATATATATATATATATATATATATATATATATATATATATATATATATATATATATATATATATATATATATATATATATATATAAATATATATATATATAACTTGAATTTTACATACAAAAAAAAAATATTTTTAAACAAAAATTCATTTTTTTATGAAATTTTATAACAATATATTTTTTAAATAGTTTTAATTAAAAAAATTTATTGAAATATCTATAAAATTTTGGTTTTTTTAATAGCTGGGTAACTTTTCTCAAACAGAAAATAAAACCAATGACTTTTTAATTAGGTTCAAACCAAAGTTTATCTACTTTTTATAGGGCCAACCTATAAATCAAAAAGTAATAAAACGTTATAATCTTAATTTATATATGGTGGCCACTTATAGCAAAAAAAAAGTATATTTCTTTTTTTCTTTTTTTTCATGATTGACTTTATTTATTAACAAAGCATTTTGAAAATACAATTTTGTAGATTTTTTAAATTTATTACATAAAATATGTATAATAATGTGAAAAGTATAGAAGAAATAAAAGGAAACAAAATTTTAACAGTATAAACTTAAATAAAATTTGAATAATCTGTCATACTAAAATAAACATACTTAAATAATGCTCATGAAAACTGGTGTATTCACTTTTATAGTCAAATTTAATATTTGAGAAGAAAAAAGAAGATTAGAAACATGTAATCTACTACCTTGCTGGTATAACATCATTCTCTACAATAAACTTTAAGAGACTAAATATGTGAGAAAGTCTGGCAACAGTATATTGTGTATTTGCAAAGTCAACAAATAATGAAATAATTTCCATACTCTGAAGCTAAAAGATAATATATTTATTATTGAATTAAAAAAAAAAAACTAAATCTTTAAAATAATAACTTTTAAAAATTATTTATTTAAAAAAACATTTAAAAATTATTACTTCATGAGGAATACTATTCCAAAATTGTTTAAATGATTTAAGAAACGACTCTTTCCTATTGTTTTCATCTTCTTCATTGTATATTATCAAACTGAAATAAAAAAAGACATAAATGTTATACAACTTCATAAACCCTGAGACAATCAATTTAAAGATGCCCACCAAGCCGAGCTCTGAGAAGTCATTCTGAGAAGTCAAGAGAGCTCTGATAGTAACTAAAAGCTTTAGCAGTTGCTATCAGCTCGAATTTGAATTATGTTTGCATTTTGATGATAATGAGGATGATGATCATCATTGCCATGAAAATGATGATCATAATGATGATGATCATCATCATCATCATGTCATCATTACCATGATTAATTTGTTGTAAACTGCTTTTTATCTTTCATTTACATATCATACTTAAATTCAAGTACAAAAAAAGGTGCATTTCATTTAAGACTGGAGTTTTAAAATCCACCACTTGAAAAAAATTTCATACATATTACAATATTTAACATTTTTTATTATCTTTATCATCATCAGCAAGACAAATGTAAAAAACAAAACTGGCGCCTTTAAAAAAAAAGTTGAAATAGGAAATACATGTTAACACTATATCACTGAGGTAAGTAAACATTTTCAGAACAAATGAAAAAAATTTAAAAATGTGTCATCTTGGTTCATTGCTCTAAAAAACAAAAAAATGTAAATTTAGCAAAAGCCTAGCTCAATATATTTTCCTAAAAAATCCTTTGTTACATAATATCATTATTAGGGTGTCCCATCCGCCCCCTATATTCTAAAAAAGATCTGTTGATATTTTTAAAACTTTCTATTGGTTCTCACAAGCAACTCGGTTTTGGATATTATTAGAGAAATAAACTTCTTTCTTTTTTAGTTATAAAAGGTGTTTTTTCTGCAATAAATTTTAAAATAACAATTTTTTAATAAAATTATTATTATTTTTGAAATTTTTATATAATTTCGCTTACTTTGAGACACAACATGACATACTTTTATAAAACTTTTTTTTATAATATTAGGGACCCAGCTAGTGTTCAAGGGTCTTGTGCTCCCCTTAAATCCAATAAAATTTTGAAAAAAAATAACCAAGTTTTTTGTGAGAACCAATAGAAAGTTTTAAGAATATGAACAGATCTTTTAGAATATAGGGGGCAGATGGGACACCCTAATCATTATAAGCCTTGTTTAAAACAAATAGGCTTTCTTTCATTATAGTTTAAATAAACTTATTTATGATTAAAAGTTATAATGATTACCCAAAAAATGCTGTTTCCACGGCTTGATAAACCTGTTTATAAAATAATATAGTTGATGATTTTAAGTTAAAGCATATACCGTAATTAAATAACAGAAACAAGAGAACAAAAAAACGCACCAAGGTTTCTTCAAGTAAAGTTTCTAAATGAGCTTTCAAGTCAGTCATGCTAAAATCTGTTATGTTGCATAAGAGTGTTTGCAATAAAAAATAATATTTAGATCCTAAACTAAATAAATAAAAACTTGAAAATATTTTGAATGGTAAACTTAATCTTTTTAAATAATTATGTTTAAAACAAATATTCTGTTTACAAATATTATAATTATATAAATATATGTATATATATATATATATATATATATATATATATATATATATACATATATATATATATATATATATATATATATATATATATATACATATATATATATATATATATATATATATATATATATATATATATATATATATATATATATATATATATATATATATATATATATATATATATATATGTATATATATATTCGGTTTTGGATATTATTTAAGTATGATATGATAACTTAGTAGAAACACTTATCTAAATATCAATAATAATTGATATTTAGACATTCTCCCTGATGAACCTGCAAAAGGAGAATCATAATGTTGAAGAAAATTAGATGCATTTTTACAATTTATTATTGCACTGTTTATTAAGAACATTGAGCATTCTGTAGAATATACTAACATAGATTACATAAAACTAAGTTTAAAAAATTTTTATATAAAAATTTTTTTTGGGGTGCCGCTAGATCCTTTATTACTTAGCGAGTTCATAATATTTTTTTAAAAAAGTAAACTGGTACTCAAAAGAAGCAGGAAAGTTAAAAAAAATAATAATTGTTTTGAATAAAAAAATTTAGAATTTATTGCTTAAAAACTACGGCTTTCTAACTTAAAACTAAAAAAATTCATTTTTCCATGTTTTTTAAAAATGTTTTTTTTAATAATTGTTTTATAAAACAATTATTACTTTTTAACTTTTTGTTAAATTTCACTTCTAGCATTTTTTTAAATGTTGTTTTAAGGTCACCCTAATATATATGCATATACAAGTTTAAATATAATTTTTTTATAATGACAACAAACAAAACTAATAATTTATTTCATGATTTTTTTTCATAGATTTACAAAATGTTTATTAACTAACAAATATAAAAACATTACTATTATTATTCTAAATGTTGCTACCTTTAGTTAATAATAAAAATTTTACGAATAAAAATCTGAATTAAATAGGTTCAGGACAGTATTCACTATTAAGCAAAGAATCAGTTATCACTGGAACATTTTTGCTTAAAAATATTTTTTTCTCTTCTACATTGTTAACAGTCCATACAATGACTTCAATTCCCTGATTTCTCCAATATTCAATGTTACCATTTTCAATCAAATAATTTTTATTTATAGACATTAGGGAGACACCAAGAAAATCTACAAGCCATAAATGCACAGACCACATATAGAGATAATCAAGAATGTCATACAACAATGTTAAATAAATTGATTGATTGTCATAAGGTTCTCCATTCATCTTTCTTGATAATAAATGTGGCCTCCAAATAAGACCAGTTCCAAACTGAGAACATTCTTTTCGTACTTTATACACAATATGAGGCATAAAAGATGTAACAAAAATAAAATCAGGAGATTGTGGCTCCTTTAAGAGTAAATCCTTCAAAAAATTGGTTATTCCAGATGCATTACTTTTGATATCCAAATTTATTGATAGCTTGTATTTCATACAAAGTTTTATTGCATCGATTAATAAAGGAATTCCTTCAAATTCTACACTTTCAATTAAACCTTTAGTTATTGTGTAGTTGAACTTTGATGCTGCATTTAACTTTTTTAAATCATTCCACATAAACTCCTTGACCAACCCTGTTGAATTAGTGACACGATCAACTTCATCGTCATGATGAAGAATTGGAACACCATCTTTTGTGAAATCAACATCAATTTCAACAGCAGTACCCCCGTTTTTATAAGCAGTTTTTATAGCTATTAAGGTATTCTCAGGAGCTTCAAACTGACCTCCTCTATGACCAATTATGATTGCTTTATTATTTCGAAAAAGTATCTTTTTTGTTTGTTCAATAGATTGCTTGGGAAGTTTGAAATGATTGTAAGAGAGAATAGCTATAACTGGAAGTAGAATAACAGCTAAGATAAACATTTTTTTTACTTTTTTTTCTAAAAAAAATCAAACAACTTAATTTAAATATTTTTATAATAGGAATATAAGTTTATAAATATTTATATTATGTACTCCTTGACCAACACTGTTGAATTAGTGTCACAACAGGGTTAGTAAAGAGTTAATATGGAATAATTTAAAATAGTTGAACGTAACATCAAAATTTAACTACAAAATGTTGCACAACTAAAAATGTGTGTTTAGATAAGCACTGTGATACCACACTGAAATAGCATGCTGCCGGAAGCTTTATTACGTAAATCAACTATCTTATAGTCTGCTGCCACAAAGGAATGCCACTATATTGACTGAAGTTTTGGGATAGCACATTTTACAAGCTCATTTGGTAGCTTTTCTTTAGTAACAACTCAAGATGTTATTATAGTTACATACTCAAGATAATGCTATTTCCACCTAAACCAGAGGAAATTCAGTTAAAAAATGAGATAAGCTTTGTTTGTGATTGATAATGCAGCTTAGTAATAACCTGAATGCTCAAAATTGATTGACTGATTGATATTTATTAGAACAAAGTATAAATACATGTTCTAAAAGACACGAAGGCCCATACGAAGATGGACATTAACAACGTGTCCAAAGAAATTAAAAAATATCAACATCAACTACAAGTAGTAATTAAAAAAACAGGAGTATAGTATCGTTAAAAATGAGAAAAAAAGAAAAGATTTTTTATTGAAACAGAATTGCTATAAATGAGTATAGAAAGTTAACTACATTGATTCTGAATTAATTTAACTTGAACTTCTATCAAAATATAGTTATAATAAAATTTCTCAATGTACGCCTAATGAATGATAAAGATTTTAAAAGATTGTTGGATGGCAACAAATTAGAAATTTGGAGACTGTGAAGAGATATTTGATTATATATTATTTATTAGTTTAACTAGTAGAAATCTGCTAACTTTTACTTTTTATTAAGATGCTATACTATCTTTATTCTACACCCCTGGTTATTAAAAACTTGACAGTATTTCTGTTATGTTTTTAAACCTACTTCATAATTTTTGTGACTTTTTTTAAAACAATTTAAGGAGCAATGTGTTCTGCAATGCGTAATTTGGGTAGGTTATAAAAATAACGAATACACACTTTATTCTAGCTCATCTAATTGTCATCAAAGATTTAAAAATTAAGCATGTCATTGTTTGTTTCGTAATTTTCTGACAATATTTTACCATGCTAATTTTTTGATGAGTTTAAAATTTCGCTGAACTCCTATCTCCTCTTAATTTCTAATACTTTCAAATAAAGATCCTTGTTTATGAAAAACTTTGTGGAATTACTAATTAGGTTTAAATAACTGGAAATATTTTATAATAAAATTATTTTTAATATTTTTTTCAATGACTTAATAATATATTAATATAATAAATTTTACGTCAATAATTTTCGCACGGTTGTTAGTACGGATCCTGATAATGCCAACCAAGCTGACCCCACTTTAGGCAAAGTCATAAGAAATATATTATTTCTTTATTTATATATTTATTCTTATGACTATGCTTAGGGTGATAGCGTACACATCAAGGCGCTAAGTGTGGCAAATTTTGAAATCTTTTAATTTTGTCCGAGGAAAATAATTTTATTTTAATGTGCAGACTAAGTGAAATTTTGACTTTATAGTGCGAAATAAAAACACCTGTAGAATGAAAGCCTCTACATACAATTTGATAAAAATTAGCGTAAATGCAGCATATGGCCGAATAAAGTTTCAGTCGGATTGGTCAATTGGTTAAAGGTTGTACCGGGATGGAAAATGGTAGAGGTGTACCGGAATTGAAATTTTGAATTCCGGCTGAAATTCTAACCGTAACAAGAACCATACTTATGTTATTCTTAATCTACAAGATCAAAGTGAAAGCCTGCACCTCAGCATCGTGGTTATATACTATATATTAATAACCTATAATATATATGTATAACCTAAATTACTAGTTTCTTGTTTCATTTAAATCTAATATGTTGTTTTATTTGTTATAATTTTATGAATTGAAAGTTTTAATCTGTATAATAGTTATATTTAAAATTCCATCCGGAACCGGAATGAACAAATTTCGTCCGGCATATCAGCCGGAACAGAACTCTGATAGATCCCTCAGTTTATGTCGATTTATCCCGCCTTCGTCGCATCACAATGAGTAGCCGTGGCGCAGTGGTTAGCGCACTTGCTTCAGAAACTAGTGATCCGCAGTTCTACGCCACCTCAGGGCAAGTTTAATAACATCGGTAAGGAAAGAGGCGTGAACTTCCCTTCAAATGCTCTTTCGCGGTACTCTGTGATAATACTGTAAGGACTTCTTGGGACACCTAAAATAATAATTAAAAAATAAAAGGTTAAAAACAAAAAAAAAATAGGTATCTAAACTGCGATAAATTAACATACTTTTATATTTTCTTAGCTTTTCGCTACTCAGACCTCTAAACGTTACCAATTACTGTGATATTCGATTACTATTTTAAAAATAATGATTACATGAATGTTCTACTATGTAATATCAACAATTTTTGATATAATTATTTTTTTGCTACATGTACCACTTTCATTCAATAGACAAAAATATTGATTTGCTATTTGAAGCGTGGTTTAAATTGGTATACGCATAGCGTGATTATCTCAACATTTCCTAAAGTATAAACTACTGACAAAATGCAAAAAACAGTGCTGAAAAAAGTGCAAAACCTATCAAAAGGACTATCAGTTAGTAAAACAAAAAAAGTTTCTGTTAAAAGAATTTTTATTGGCCCTTAAAACCTTCTTAAATGCATTGACTTTCAAAATGAAGTGAAAATTAACTATACAAACCCTAATTTTTACATTATATTACCATCAAATGCCTGATTAAATTGTTAGCCAGTCTTTGATTTTCTCCACAAGCGACTAGGGCTAGGAGTGACACATTAACCCCTAGAAACATTACTTTTTGAGAATTGCACTATAAATATATTTTATTGATGCTTTTATGTGTCTTTTATCATAACTATTAATTACGTCTAAGATGGGGGGGGGCCGGGTGATCCTCTTATAAGCGAGAGAAAATCCGAAGAGTTTTTTTTATTTTCCTGTTTTTAATGAGTTGAATGGTTTATAAAAGGTAATTCATTAAAAGTATGATGATTAGGAAAATTTTTAAGAATTATAATTATTTGATCTTCTAAAAGAAGAAGAGTAAACTAATGGAAAGTTATTTGGCTCATGACCAGAATATAAGGGTTCGATTCCTTTCTCTTTATCTTTAAATTAGAACAATTTTCTTTTGATTATGGAGAAATAAAAGTATGAGAATCGTTTATACATGTTAGTGTAAGCAAATGAATGAGTAAAATAAGGTAATACCTGTTTTGTCTCAGGCTATTTAAATATGTTTTCATCCTAAGACGCATAGCTTAAGCCATGTTTTTACTGAAACAAAGAAAATTTAACAGCAGTAAAGAAATTTATACAATTAAAGTAATTTAGATTTAAAGTAATCGTAAATTTTGTCTAATTAAGTGCCAGTCTATTTAATTTAAATTTAGAATTTTCGTCATTATTATTGATAATAAAATATGTAGAAGCTATAGTTATATTATTTTTATTTGTAATAATGATGTTAGATATAATTCAAATAAAAAAAAACTCTAATATAAATAATATAATTCCTATAATTTTAATTATTTTAAGTTTATTAACAATAAAAATTATCAATAAAGATGTATTTCTACCTTATCATTTAAATAATGACTTTCTAAATTTTAATTACAAATAGTATTTAGTATTTAAGTTGTTTTTTTTATTTATTTATTTTGATTTATGCTTTATTTTGTTTATTATATAGACTGTGAAGAATATTAGAATATTGTATTCTTTTTGTTATATAGATTGTAAATGGCTTCATGATAAGATCCTGTGATCTTCTAGAAGTCCTGCCGGTAATATATTCAATCTAAATTTACTTGTACATATATTTACATATACATACATACAATGAAAATTTACTTGTACATATTCTGGCAAATAAAAAAATAAAAAAAAATTTAATAAATTAACATAATTTTCATAATTTAGTATTGTTTTTTTATTCCAAATATTCTACAAATTTTATATTAATTAGCATTATTTTATCAATAGGAATGATAGGAGTAATTTTTTTAACAATTACTTATAATTCTAATTCAAAAAAACAAAAAATATTTATTCAACATTTAAGAAATAATTTATGAAATTAAATTTATTTGTTTATCTATCTATTAGTTTTCTTCTTAGCTTTATAGTTTTTTATTTTTTTCAGTTTTTCTTTCTTTTAAATCTTTTAAAAGAAAAAAAATTGAAAAAAATTCGTAGATAGAAACTTTTTTTTAAAACAAAAAAGTTTCTATTTTAAAACAAAAAAGTTTCTATCTACGAATGTGGATTCAATTCTTTTCATTCAACTGGTTAACCATTTTCTATAAGATTTTTTTTAATTGCTATTTTATTTTTATTTTTTGATTTAGAAATAATTTATTTATTTCCATGATCAGTAAACTCAAATTTAATAAACTATTATTCACAATATATTATTTATTTATTTATAATTGTATTTATTACAGAATTAGTTTATGAATGATTAAGAGGTGGGTTAGAATGAGAATAATGTTATTTGATTTTAATTTATTAGTAATAATTATGTTTTGTATTTGTATTATAGCAATAATTATAAATAAAAGTAATATAATATTAATTTTAGTTAGTATAGAAATTTTATTATTATTAATTTCAATAAATTTTATGTTAACTCCGTTGACTAATTTTTCTTTAGAAGGACAAATAATAGCAATATATATAATAACTATTGCTGCTGTTGAATCAGCTATTGGATTATCGATAATAGTAGCTTTTTATAAAGTAAAAGGATCTATTTCTTTAAAATTATTAAACTTATTAAAAGGGTAATGAAAAATATATATTTAATTATATTAGAAATAATAAAGTTTTTAACAATTGTTATTCCAGTTTTAATCTCTGTAGCTTATTTAACTCTAGCAGAAAGAAAAATTTTAGTTTATAGTCAAAATAGAAAAGGTCCTAATGTAGTAGGAATATTCGGATTATTACAACCTTTGGCTGATGGTGTAAAATTATTTTCAAAAGAATTAATTATTCCTAATCATGTCAATATTTTTCTCTATTTATTTTCTCCTATACTAGCTTTAAGTTTATTATTACTTATTTGAATAATAATTCCATTAGGGATTAATAATTTAATTTTTGATTTTAATTTAGGAATTATGTTTATCTTTACTATTTCTTCTATAAGCATATATTCTATTCTCTTATCCAGGTGATCAAGTAACTCTAAATATGCTTTTTTAGGTTCATCAAGAGCTGCTGCTCAAATGATAAGTTATGAAGTTTGTATTAGTTTAATTATTTTTTCTTGTATTTTATGTGCTGGAACTTTAAATATTTATTCTCTAATAAATTCACAAAGTCAAAGTATTTTTTATATTTTTCCTTTATCACCTATAGCTATAATGTTTTTTATATGTTTATTAGCAGAAACTAAAAGAGCTCCTTTTGATTTAACTGAAGGCGAATCAGAATTGGTTTCCGGTTATAATGTAGAATATTCTTCAATGTCTTTTGCTTTATTTTTTCTAGCAGAATATTCTTATATAATATTCAGTAGTGTTTTTTTTGTGATCTTATTTCTAAGAAATTGAAATAATTATTTTTTTATTAACAATTTTTTTTTTTTTTTTAAATGATTGTATTTGTGATTTTTATTTATATGAGTAAGAACTTCTTTTCCTAGATTACGAACATTTAAAGAGTTTATTATGAAAATCTTATTTACCTTTGAGTTTATCATTTATTACTATAACAAACTCTTTATTATGAGCTTTTTGAGGTTTATCTAATAAATGATGTATATAATTTTTTTTTTATTGATTCCATTTTTAGGCATATTAAATATCTTATTAATTAAAAGAAATAATAAAAATATCTTTAATATTTCTTTGTTTTGATCTTTAATATTACTATTTTATTTTATATTATTTTTTGTTTTAAATTATAAAAGTTTTAATTTTCAATTTAGTACAAATTTTAATTGATTATTAATTAATTCAATTTTTGTTAATTGAAATAATTTTTTTCTTTCTACTGATGGTATATCTATATAGGTTTAAGTATTTTACTAATTCCTATATGTATATTAATTAGTTTAAAATCAATAAAATATTTTAAAAAAGAATTTAATATATTATTATTTATATCAGTCATTTTATTAATCGGAGTATTTTCTATTTTAGGTATAATATGATTTTATATTTTATTTGAAAGTATATTAATACCTGTTTTTATTATGATTGGCATATAGGATATAGAGAAGAAAAAATTAAAGCTGCTTTTTATTTATTTACTTTAATAGGATCCTTATTAATGTTAATAAGTATATTTAAAGTATATTCTTTAACTGGAACTACTAACTACGAAAATTTACTAATTA